TTTTGAGGAGAGGTAGACCAGTGATAGTGTTGCAAAACAAAAACAAAAACAAAATAAGAATAAGATAAGGTCATTGAAAAATCTTAAAGGCAGAAATGAGAACAGAAGGGAGTTCAGAAGGAGGCACAGATAAGCAGGACAGCTTTGAAAGTAGCATGTTGAATTTATCATATACTTTTTAAAAAGCAAATTGTATATAGTAGAGATTCGAGATTTCATATGCAATAATTTTTTGTATTCTACTTTGTATATGGAAACGCTAATTCTTTTTTGTATCTTTTAAGTGCAGAAGAGAAAGTGATTTTTTCTTATAAGCAAGAGATGCTTCAGTAAGGGGCAGATCGTCCATGGCAATGCAGCTTGATGGGTTCCAGTAGTGGTGATGCGTGGAATGTTTTCAGTTTCTCCTGACAATATAGCTCGGTTCCACAATTTATTATTATAATTATTACAAGCAGGATGGCGTAATGGATAGAGAGCTGGTCTGGAAGCCTGGAAGATGTGGCTTCAAATCCCTTCACTACCACAAACTGGCTGTGTGACCACAAGTCACTTTTAGTCTCAGTTCTCTCAGCAGTAAGAAGAACATTTTTGAGGAGGTTGGGTACATGTGGGTTGCCCCTGCCTGGGATTCCCTGTGAAAGTCCCACAGTTCAGTCTAGGGGCCTGACTGTAGTGGGCAAGGAGATTGTGTTGCAGCAACCTCTCCTCCTTCCTTCATCTTTCTTCACCCTAATACTTCTCCCTCTGGTGAGAAGTCTCCTTTTCTCCAAACCACACATTTCCAAAGATGAATTAGAACTCAGAAGACCTGAGTTTGAATCCAGCCTCAGGCATCTATCAGCTCTGTGACCCTGGGCAAGTCACAAGTGACCTCTCTCAGCCTCAGTTTCTTCATCTGTAAAATGGGGGCAATAATAGCACCTCACTCACAGGGCTCCTCAAGGATAGCTATGTAGCACAGTGGATAGAACACTGGGCCTGGAGTGAGGAATACTCCTCTTCCTGAGTTCAAATCTGGCCTCCCACACTAGCTGTGTGACCCTGAGCAAGTCACTTAACCCTGTTTGCCTCAGTTCCCTCATCTGTAAGATGAGCTGGAGAAGGAAATGGCAAACCCCTCTAGTAACTTTGCCAAGAAAACCCCAAATAGGGTCACGAAGTGTCGGGCATAACTGAAATAACTGGACAACAATAAAAACAACAACAAATTCTACTATTATTACTAGCTAGCAGCAACTCCAGGGGTGTCGTTTCAGGCTGTGTCAGCAGAGGACTGCTTCCTGCCGTGTCAGGGAGAGCAGGAGGCAGGTTGGGCCCAGAGGTGGGGCTTGGGGTGTGACCAGCCGTGAGGTGAGGTCTAGGTTCAGAACCTGTCTGGTGAAGCTCAAGTGTGCGACTCTCTCCCTTAGCTTCTGATTCTAGCCTAAGCAGGAGCCCCTGCCAGGGCCCAACAGTCAGGAGGGTGGGAAAGGGTGAGGGTAGGAGTAGGGGCCTAATGGATCAATCCTTCCTTGCCAATTAGTTGCTCTCTTTCGCACGAGGTACAGTATGAGACTCAGGTTACATCCAACCTCCTTGTTCTTCCCTTGGTACGTCAAGCCCTCTATTTTTAAAAAAAAAAGAAAAATCTCTTTTTGGACGCTCTTTTCTTGCATCATTCCTATTTCCCAGGAGCCCTCATCTCTTGCCTCTCCATTCTATAAAATTCTTCTCTCAAAGTATAATCAAGTAATACAAATCAACACGTGGCCTTGAATGACTTAGGATTAGAGCTCTGCACCTGTTACACACCACCTCTCTCCTTAGAGGCAGGAGATATGACACATCACCTCCTCTCTGTTCTTATGACTGGTCGTTACATTGATCAGAATTCTAAAGTCTTCTTTGCTTTTTCCTTTGCATCATTATGGTCATTGTGTCAACTGTTATGGTTCTCTTTACTTTTTTAAGCCTTCTTTAAAAAATGACTCATAGGGCTTCCCAACATACAGAGGTCAAAGGATCAAAGGGCTGTACATTTAGAACTGGAAGACACCTTAGAGGTCAGAGTTGAACCCTCTTATTTTAAGGAAGAAGGTGTTTAAGGACCACATAAAGTCACATAGCTTGTTCAAGGTCACACAACCAGTAAGTATCTGAGGTGGGATTCAAACCCATGTCTTCCTGACTTTTAAGGAAACTGAAATAAGATAAGGAAGAGATTTTTTTTTTGGTGAGGCACTTGGGGTTAAGTGACTTGCCCAGAGTCACACAGCTAGTAAGTGTTATGTGTCTGAGGCCGCATTTGAACTCAGGTCCTCCTGACTCCAGGGCCGGTGCTCTATCCACTGCGCCACCTAGGTGCCCCCAAGGAATAGATTTCTTGAGGTAATATACTTAAGCCATTCCTTGTAAGTCTAGAATTCATCCGGCTGTACAATTGGACCCTATATCCTGGCTGCTGCTCATTATCAACATGGAGGCTGAGTCCAATGGAGATTAGGCAATCTCCACGCTGATTGGTCAAGCTCTATAAGGTTCAGCTTCTCCTCTATCCCCTTTAACTTCAAATTTTAAACTTGGAATTGAGGGCGGAGGCAGGTGTGTGTGTGTGTGTGTGTGTGTGTGTGTGTGTGTGTGTGTGTGTGTGTGTGTG